AATAATAATAATAAATTTTTGCTTGGATACAAAGGAAGGAAGGAAGGAAGGAAGGAAGGAAGGAAGGAAGGAAGGAAGAAAGAAAGAAAGAAAGAAAGAAAGAAAGAAAGAAAGAAAGAAAGAAAGAAAGAAAGAAAGAAAGAGGAAATTGCCAGTTAGCACTTGTTACCATCCTAAGTCAGTTTCTACTGTTGGATCTCAGTGCAGATCTAGCTCTTTGCTTCAGACCCTGTTGACTTCTGCAAATTGTCAGATATAGCAATTTAATGAACTGCTGGTTCAGCAATTCCTACCCGTTTGTTTATCAGGTGTTTAGCACTTCAGAGTCCCACCTCCTCTGGTGGACACCCACTCGGAGGCAGCAGCCTGTCTTACCTGCCCCACCTCATCCAAGTGCTGCCTCTGAGTGGATGCCTGCTGGAGGAGGCGGGGCTTTGAAGTCCTGTACACCCGTTCAGCCAATAAATGAACCAGCACAAACCTCCAGACAGGTGGTTTGTGCCCATCTCTACTTTGACTTTTTTGTGTGCAGTGTCTTTAAAGCAGAGCTGAGTGAAGTGTGGCTCTCCAGATGTTGTTGGAACACAATTCACACCAGCTCTAGCCAGCACAGCCAGTTACGAGGAATGCTGGGATCTGCAGCCCAATAACATCTGAAGAGTCACATTTTGCCCATCCATCCTTTCAATCTGTGTGCACTTTTCAGAGCTGATTACCAGGTAAAGGTTCAAACAACTTGGCCTGAAGCTGGTTGTATGTGTGTTGTGCTTGCTTCATTCCTGAACTCTGCCTGGCCACCTTAGTGACAATTCAAATATCTAATCAAAGTTTCAGGTTCTGGCTCCAAAATCTCATGAAAAGAGACACTGCTGACCTAGCAACCCTTCGGCAATATCCCTTGCAACATTATGGAGGACACTGAGGTACAAATTCTCAGACTGCTGGCACCGGCAGTCCTCCAGATACTTTGACAAATCTAAGCAGCAACCTCAAAGCAGAAGACCTAGAATGTAGTCATTTCAAAGGGGAAGGAAGGATAACCACGATAATCTATTACAGCAAACACAACAAAGCACTTGTGGCATCTTCGTCATTTAGTTGTGTCCGACTCTTCGTGACCCCATGGACCAGAGCACGCCAGGCTCTCCTGTCTTCCACTGCCTCCTAACAAATTTTATTTGGTATAAGCTTTTTGGAACTGCAGCCCACAACGGCTGAAAATTTGTTGCTTAGCACAACCACAATAAGCTCACTGAATCAATGGAAGTTGATTCACCAAATCCTCACTGATTTAATGCGTTTACTCTAGTAGAGCCTTACTACATAAAGTACCATGATTTTACCCAATCTTTCAGAAAAAAATATACTGACGAGTTTGGTCTTTAGTTTTTAAGGTGCCACAGAACTTTTCATTGTTTTTGCTTAAAAGCAGAATTTAGTTTCTTTGTCAATTAACAAAGATAACTAACTCTTAATCAACTCTTACCTAACTAACTTAGCTAACTCTTGTGAGCTGCTAAAGAACTCAGGCCTCTGTTCCTTCTCCATGCAGCTCAATCTATACTAGCATTTTCAATGAGTCTTACTCTATCATTCAGACTTAAAACATTAAACATCCAGAATTAAACATCTTATTTCTACCCCAGCCCAACATACTTATTGGTATATATTTAAGAATATTAACTGAATAGCAGGGTGGAGATTTTAGTGGAAAAGGGTCAGCCTCATCAAATTATTTCCAATTTGCAGACACTGGCAAATATTGGCAGTTAAATAATTCTTATTTGGATTTCATTCAACTGGACATAATGAAAAAAGCATTTGTTTATGTAAAAACTGCTGGAATCCTGCTTTCTCACAACATTTAAACAATGGAATGTGGAAGTACAGTACAATTTTCCACCACAAGTATTTAAAGAAAAAGTAATTTTCTCTGGGTCACATATGAACAAACCCAAGTGGCATCTATGCAAAACATTGAACTGACCAGACTCTACAATTTTCTTTGTCTTGTCCTACGGCAACAACAATGGCAACCCAAAAACCAACAACTTCCTTGCCACATGGAAGCATACCATATTCAAGTCAACCACTGTGAAGGATATGAATGTATAAGGACTTGGATGGCACCCCTTCGGACAATGTGGAAGGGGCCCAACATATAAAGCGCGGGGGTAGCACTGAACCGGAAAATTGACTTTCCTTTGTTGAGAAGGATATATGTCTACAGAAACAAAGAAAGAAAGAAATTGCTAGTAACTCCTAAATTTCCTTTGAAACATTGATCTTCAATCTACACTACAAAATTCATGTATTCATGGCTTCTTCTGAATATAGTTATTTTGCAACAGTGATCATCACCCTGTATTATGTTGTCACCATACAGAGGCTTAATTGATTCGAATTGAGAGAAACGAACTAGCTCTGCTACTCATATAAGTGAGGTGATAATTTGAGGCAGCAGAATTTGGATGTTCCAGAAAAGCTGCAAATGGTTAGCTACTTCATTTTGTGTTGGCTTTATTTTTACATTGTACTTGTGAGTTCTCAGTGTCATGTACTAAAGCGATTAACCTAGCTTTGAGTACCATGCATCTTAGTTTCAGGTGCCATGAGTGCTATTTGTTCCTTTGCCTCGGGCACTGACCTATTTTATGTCTGGTTTGACTAAAATACATTTAGTCAAACCAGAAGCTACAGGTGGAGGTCAGTTTTGTGGAATCACTCTATCCACAATGTCACACCAGTGAAACTCTTAAATAAGCTTGCCAGGTGGCTGGAGTGGAGGTGGGCAGACCACTTATCAAGGACAAACAGCACTGAAAGCAGGAGTGACTCCAGTCACCTGGAAATTTCTTAAGCCTGAGGTAAGAACAGAAACATCAGGTCAGGTGGTTACAGCAACTGCCAGTATCTTCAGTTCCCAGAATCCCCCTGGTACCTGGGTCTTGATACAGCATCAGAGAGAGATTACTCTTTGGGAGTGTTACCCAGGAGAACTGAGGCACAACGTGTGATTGGGCTACAGCTGCCTGGCCTCTTATCACTCTGTGCTTTTTTATTATTTTTATTTTAAGAGAGATGCTGGTGCAATGTGGGCACCAGCTACAGTGACTAGAGTCCTGGCATTCGCTCCATTAAGTTGTATGCAATTTTTGAGCTCATGTGTTTTTGATAATTGTTATTGGATTTCTCACTAGGTAAACATTAACTTAAATGCAACCAGAGGTGGAGGCTGATTTGTAAGGGGACAATCTCGTCCCTTAAGCTGTTATAAGCTGCCCTGGAGAAAAAGAAAAGGGTAGCTGCCAAATGGGTACAGATGTTAAAAAGCATAGGGAATAAAAAGTAATCCTGCAGAATACCATGGCCAAGGGCATGGTGTAATTGTCCAGCAAAACTGTTGGAATCGCTCTTTGGGTAGAAATAGATCCCAGTGAAACACTATGGTCTAAACTGCCAGTTCATAGACTGCCTTGGTCAACAGTATTGAATAAAAGAGGATGGCACCATTAGAGAGCCAGCCAAGCAATACATGGGATAAAATCATAGAATCAGAAAACAATGGAGTTAGAAAGGGTCTATAAGGTCATCAGGTCCAACCCCTGCTCAATGCAGAAATCCAAATCACAATATGTCTGAGAGATGACTGGCTAACTTGTACTCTGGGTCGCACATGTCCTTGACACAAATCAGCCAAAGGACTTTAGTACAGAGCAGAGGTTTTCTACACCAACTCTGAATGTGTTTCTACAAGTGATGATAATGCCAGCATGCTGCCACACCAATGTAACTGTGTCACTGATTCAGTTTCACAGATGAAGAAATAAACTCCTGTACAATCAGCATGGCCTCATAACATGTTTAGCAATGTGATAAATGGCTCCCAGGCTACAATACCACCTAATCACTGAAAACCAGTGTTTAGTCAAAATGCATGGGGTATCAGTCCTAATTGTTTTTACATACCACTTGTTTTTGTTTTGTTTTTTTACCAATGAGCAAGGCCAACCCATGGTCTGAGCAGGGAGATAGCTCAGTTCAAAATGGCAATATGAGACTCTCCTCCCTGCTGGGACCATGAGCTACTGCTGGTACTTAATTTACTTATTTTTTAAATATTTGACATAGCATTTGATATTTGCATATTATTTTAAAGTGTTTTCTCTTCCTTATTTTAATAAATATATCTTGCATTCTAACGTGTGGCTTGTTTTCTTGGTTCCTATGAGTGGATATTAGAACGTTCTGTACCACTTCTCACTGTAGTTTAAATTTTTTCCTTTCCTCTTCCAACCCAACTTTTCCCATTTACTTTCTGATCACTATAGAATGGATCCAAGTCTTCCAAGGGAACCCCAATGAGTTCAGGTGGAGGGTCTCCATAAATAAGTGGGAGGTTTCTCCCTTGCTCCAGGTCACTCCGAGGCTTGCGTTCCGGTTCCTCCTCAAGAACCTCCTCATGGTGTTTCTTCAACTTCTTGGCTTCCCGTTCAGCAATTCGCTTCTCTATTGCTTCCAGGGATTCACGGGTGAATGGGCGCAGGCAGTCTGGACCAGGAATGTGTGGCGGGACTGCCATCTTGGCATTCCGCTCCTGGACCTATTGTGCCTGGTGTCACAGGATAATGGCTGTAATGACAAAGAGAGGAGAAGTTACATTTTGCAATACAGTGACGATTCTCAACTGCAGGCTTACTTGTGTAGGATCTGTAAGCATATTCACATCAACCATTAAAAAGCTGACTGCTTAGTGCCTCCAGGCATGTGGTCTATACATGCAACAGAATGGACAAGTAAAGTGGAGATCAGCACATCCCAATTATGGTGGTGGAGATTACCCACTTTGAGTTTTCCACCACATAAAACCTGCTGGCCAGCAAATAATTAGCGTACCTTGGAGAACAGCTCTAGCTTACCACTTTCCAGACTAGAGCACATTTGTGTATCTAAAAGAATTGCATAATGAGTGATATCACACTTCACCTCCTATTAGCATTCAATTATCTTGATATCTGTTGGGAGGCAAATTTGGACAAAGATGGCCCTTTCAAGAAATTCCTGGCTTGTGTGGCTGATAATTGTCTCCTATAAAAAAGAAGAGAAAGAAACTAAAGGGCTAGCTATCTTTGACTTGATTCTAACTGATAGAGACAACTTGGTGGAGGAATTTAGAGAAGTTATTCATTTCTGCTGGCCCTTTTGAAAGTGGTCTTCTAAAAAGAGGGATATATGGCTCTGGTTCATGAATCGTATAGTGGACCCAGCCAAGACTATGCTGAATACGTCCTCCCATCGCCAGGTGGAGGAAGTGGCAGTAAGGAGAACTCCAGACAAGACTGATTATATTCTACTAGGATTCTTGATTTCAAAAGAAACCAAAGTAGCCACACATATATGCTGCATGTTTTAAAAAGCCAATTTTAATAAATTCAGAACAAGGATGAGTAAGTCCCATGGCAGGAGATCCTAACAAGAAAAAGAGTCCAAGAAGGGTGGGAGTTTTTTTAAAAAGGAAATTATAAAGGCACAACTACAAACAATTCCAACAACAACAAAAAAGTGGGAGACAGTGAAAAGGCCAGTGTGGCTTCACAAAAGCTCAGAGAGGACCGAAAACAAAAAAGAACACAAAGAGGAAGGTCAGGCCACAAAGGAAGAGTAGAGACAAGTAGCAAGGAATTGCAGGGATGGCATTAGGAGGGCAAACGCTAAAAATGAACTGAGGCTAGCTAGAGACACTAAAATCAACAAAAAAGCATTCTTCATGTATGTATGTAGCAATAGACAAAGAAAAGAAATAGTGGCTTAGCTGAAAACAAAAAAGAACACAAAGAGGAAGGTCAGGCCACAAAGGAAGAGTAGAGACAAGTAGCAAGGAATTGCAGGGATGGCATTAGGAGGGCAAACGCTAAAAATGAACTGAGGCTAGCTAGAGACACTAAAATCAACAAAAAAGCATTCTTCATGTATGTATGTAGCAATAGACAAAGAAAAGAAATAGTGGCTTAGCTGCTCAATTAAACAATAGGCAAATAAAAGAAATAGTGGCTTAGCTGCTCAATTAAGGTTGAAAAATAATAACAGACAATGAAGAAAAGGCAGAAGTGCTCAATTCCTATGTTAGCTCAGTCTTTTCCCAAAGAACAGACTATGACCTTCCAGACAAATGTGAAGTGCAAGTGGAAGGGACTGGATTGCAGCTGGAGATTGATAAACAAATAGTCAAGAAACACCTTATTACCTTAAACGAGTTCAAATTTCCAGGACCAGATAAACTGCATCCAAGAGTATTGAAAGAACTGGCTGAAAACTCTCAGAATTACTATCCATTATTTTCTTGAAATCATGGGAAATGGGTGAAGTGCCAGATGACTGGAGGAGGGTTTATGCTGTCCCTAAAAAGGAGGAACATAGGAACTACAGACCAGTCAGCCTGCCATTAATCCCAGGAAAAATTCTGGAACATGCTGTCCCTAAAAAGGAGGAACCTAGGAACTACAGACCAGTCAGCCTGCCATTAATCCCAGGAAAAATTCTGGAACAGATTATAAAGCAGTCACTATGCAAGGACCTGGAAAACAATGTATTAATAACGAGCACCAAACAAGAATTTGTTAAGAACAAATCCTGCTAGACTAATCTCATTTTTTGATCAGGTGATCTCTCTGATACACAGAGAGAATGCTGTAGACATAATATATCCACAGAGAGAATGCCGTAGACATAATATATCTTGAATTCAGCAACACTTTTGAAAAAGTGTCCATTAATATTCTGATTAGCAAACTAACTAGGTGTGGGATGGACAGAATACCTGTCAGGTGGGTACACAGTTGGATACAGAACCACACCAAGAGGGTGATGATTAATGGCTCTTCAACATTTTTATTAGTTTCCTGGATCAGGGGATGCAGGGAACACTAATCGAATTTATGGATGACACAAAATTGGGTAGAATAGCCAATATCCTGGAAGACAGAAAGAAAATTCAAAATGATCTAGATAGGTATAAGCACTGGGTTGAAAACAATAGAATAAAACAGGGATAAGTACATAATACTGAACCGGGGGGGGGCGAAGAAACCAAACACAGTTACAAGAAGAAAGATACCTGGCTCAGCAATACTACAAGCTAGAATGATCTTGGAATTGTCATAGATCACCAGCTGAATATGAGCCAACAGTGTGATGTGGCTACAAAAGAAAAGCAATGCTAACTTAGGCTGCATTAACAGAAGTACAGTATAGTCTCCAAATCATGCAAGGTACTATTTCCCCTTTATTTGGCACTGGTTAGGCCTCATCTTGAATATTGTCTCCAGTTCTGGATACTACACTTCAGGAAGGATGCGGACAAAATGGAACAAGTTCAGAGGTAGGCAACAGGGATGATCAGGAGGCTGGAAATCAAGCCCTATGAGGAAAGACTGGAAGAACTGGGCATGTTTAGCCTTGAGAAAATAACTGTGGAGAAATATGATAACATTTTTCAAATACTTGAAAGGCTGTCATACAAAGGAGGGGCAGGATTTGTTCTCAATCATCCCAGAGTGCAGGACATGCAGCAATGGGCTCAAGTTGCAGGAAGCCAGATTTCATTAAATATCAGAAAAAAACTTCCTGTTAGAGCAGTATGGCAATTACCAATGACCTCGAGAGGGGGTGAGTACTCCAACACCGGAGGCATTCAAGAGAAACTTAGACAACCACCTGGCAGATATCATTTGATTCAGATTCCTGCATTGGGTGGGGGTTTGGACTCCATGGCCTTATAGGTCCCTTCTTAGTTCATTATTCTGTGATTCTAAGATTCTATGAACATGTGCCGTCAAGTTAATTCTGACTTATGGTGACTCTTTTCAGGATTTTCTAGGTAGAGGATGCTCAGAAGTGGTTTACCAGTCCCTTCTTTTTGGGGGGCACCCTGGGACTGTGCAGCTTGCCCAAGACCACACAGGCTGGCTGTGCTCACAGGAGGCACAATCAAACTCCCAAATTCTGGATCCCCAGCCAGATACCTAAACTATTGAGTCATCCAGCCAGTTACATATACAAATAGCAAGGGGTATTCCAATAGTACTCCTGAAAAAAATCTCTGGGCTTGTCTGCATGGCGCAATTGGAGCAGGTTAGTCCAGACAAATACGGTTGGTTAAAGTCAGGTACACATCCGGTATGCCATTTGGTGCAATTGTTGCATTCAAATGACATACCCACCTCAAGCAACCCTATTTGGTCTGCCCCCTCCACTTCTGTGACAAAGTTTTTTATTTTTTATTTTTTCCCCTAAGAGGTATAGTGCATCAGCCTTATACTAATCATTTTTTAAAATTAACTTAATTCCTCTTCTTATTTCGGGGAGGAGCAGAGGAAGTGTTTAATTTCCCCATTTTTTATTATTAACTTAATTCCTGTTCTTATTCCGGGGAGGAGGAGAGGAAGTGTTTAATTTCCCAATACTGTGAAGTGGCTAAGCTGTTGTCTTAACCCATTTAAGAATATTGGGGAATTCAAAGCCGAATGGAAATTCAAAGCCACAAGCTCCACTTTGGTTTGTTTCGAGGAATCACACTTACTGGAAATGAATCAAAATGAATTATTAACTTAATTCCTGTTCTTATTCCGGGGAGGAGGAGAGGAAGTGTTTAATTTCCCAATACTGTGAAGTGGCTAAGCTGTTGTCTTAACCCATTTAAGAATATTGGGGAATTCAAAGCCGAATGGAAATTCAAAGCCACAAGCTCCACTTTGGTTTGTTTCGAGGAATCACACTTACTGGAAATGAATCAAAATGAAGTGATCCTACTTGCACCAAAAAGCCTCTAACAGAGACCTAGAAAGAAGCGAATAGGAACGTTCCGTGGATGGTTCTCTCTAGCAATTATGTCATCTGATCACAAGCAAAAGGAACTAACAGCCCTTCCTCAGAGCAGACTGAACAGTGGGACAAATGCCCGTCTGATTGCACCCTCTGATCAGAATACTGGGGTTTAAAAGAAGAACCTTGTGTGGTTGAATATCTTCACCTGTAATTTGTACTCTTCTGTTTTGCTTTCCTTGATAAGCTGGCTCACTTCGCCACACCTGTCCATGAGGTCAAGGCGAAGGCTCATTGAACTAGTCAATTGCAACTGCCTTTTATAGGAACATTACTTTGAGGAAGACCATAACGACAACAATAACACACAGCATTTATAAAAGTGCTATCTATTGTTCAAAGCATAATTCAGTAGCCTATCGAACAGCCCTACAGAGTATATATGTTATATTCATCATACTTGCAAAAACCATACTAACTTTCCTACAGTAATATTGAGAATTTATGCCCAGTAGATGAACAGGAAAGTCACAATTTACACATCACCTACTATGCTACGCCAACTTTCATAACTTGCCTATACAAAAGCTTTTAAAACCCAAAACTAAATAAATATTATATTTATTTATTATATTTATGGTTCTCAGTCTCCCAATTATGAAATTATAATAACAGTTTTTGCTGTCAGAAAAATATTGGGAGGACAAACTCATTTTAATTTTTTTAAAATTACAGATGTTTGTAGTTACGGCTGTTTGCAATTTTTTTAAAAATGCTAAATTTCCCTGTAAAGAAACACATCACA